TTTTTTTTCTCCCTTTGACATATCTTATTCAGATTTTCATCTTGTCTGTGGTTCTTTTAGATTTCGTTCCTGAGCTTTGATATGTATTAAGCTGCTTCTCAACTTACATGTAGGTGAAGTCAAAAATAAATTGCTGATGCGCTTATTTTGTGTCAACTTCACCTCTTTACGCTTGTCGTTTCTGATTTGCACTGGCAGCCTCTTTTGTTGCGTTTAAAGAGCTCTCATAACAACTAAACAGTATTTTGACCTCATTTTTGTTTCACTTTGGATGTTTATTATATTTCATCCCTGGTCATTTTCATTGTTAGTTTAGCCATGCTTTTCCCAACTTTATTTTTCACCTCGTCCAATCAACATTTGCTAGGCACAATGCTTGTAAAGTGTCTAATATATCCAACAATATGAAACATGATCTTTTCTGCACGGGAGATTATGTTGCTTATATGCACTTTACTTAAGTTCCATTCAAATGCTGAGATTCTTCTGTTCATTATAAAATACATGAAGCTGACAGGAAGACAAATAGGGGATCGGCTTATGGCTGAAGCTGAAAGAAATCTTGCAATCAATGTGCTTCCCAGTATGTCAGAATCTTATGAAGTTCAAGGGAGGGGAGAGCTTCAATTGGGTGAGTCTTTTTTATCAGATGTGTTCTAAATAGTAAATATATCTATTTTCCTTGGAATCTTAGTTAATTATGTTATATGGCAAAAAAGCTCATCTGAACAGTTGCATCTTTTATCCTTGGGCCAATTTCTTTCGTCTACAGGCATCTTAATTGAGAATATGAGGCGTGAAAAGTTTGAGCTTTCAGTCTCACCTCCTAAAGTGATGTGAGTCTTTCCATTTAGCTGATGTCTTGTACAACTTTATCTTCTGTCCATCTTATTTCTTGTTTGATTTTAATGCAGATCGATCAAAGTAGCCATTGTTCTTTGTCTATGCATATTTTATTGCCATTTTTTCAGAATCTTTTTTCGCCATTTCCCAATGTGGAACAAAAATAACTTTAGGAAATGATCATTTCAGAAGATTTTTCCAACTCAACATAAAATGGTGATCACCCGTCAGGAGATGACAATGTCCAAGAAAGATGTTTTTGTTATAAAGATGTTTTTTCTTTTAAAATGGCTAATTAAACATTGGCTTTACATAATGGCTAATCATTTCCAGGAGTCTGGCCTTCTAGTCGTTGGGGTTAGCTAATCTGAAGTACTGTGCTTGTCTTCTGTCCATATTCTGATAATATGGTTTTTTTGCTCATGTATTTTACAAATTCTTTAGGAAAACCAAGACCATGTTCATTATGTGTTTTTCAACATCTTCACTAGCTGGTCATTTGATTTGAAACAGCTAATAATTTTCACATGCCCTAATTGGACCAGATCAAGCTATTGTAAGGCACAATTTTAGATGTGAAGCACTTTAGGCATTATGATTCACAAATTAATTTATAGTCGATTCTAGTTTAAGAGCTGTTTGAACAGGTATAAAACTGAAAATGGACAAAAGCTGGAGCCAATTGAAGAAGTGACTATTGAGGTATTAGCTCTGAAGCAAATTTAATGCATCTCCAGAATTTCAGAATTCAGTAGTGACTTCTCAACTTTTTCATACCAGGTCAATGAAGAGCATGTGGGTTTAGTTATGGAAGCTCTTTCTCACAGGCGAGGTGAGATTACAGACATGGGTCCAGTACCTGGCAATGTTGGTAGAACCAGACTTTGTCTAACTTGTCCTTCTAGGTACTTAACACTTTCTCATACATGTTCTCAACTTTTGAATATTTTTTAACTCATGGTTTTGAGTTTTCTTGTTAATTGTCCGGAAAAAAAAACTATTACCAATCTGAACTAGGGCTGAGCACGGTTTGATTTGGTTGAGATCTAAAAATCTTCGGAACCGAACCAAACTTCGGAGATCTTAAAAATTGGATCTCCGGAACGGAACCGGTTCCAATAAATCTCCCTTGCGAACCGAACTGAATTTCGGTTCGGTTCAGTTTGGTTCGGAGATTCGGGTCTAACGGGTCACCGGAGATTTCAGAGATTTTTATTTTTTGATTTTTATTTTTTTTATAATTTTTTTAAAAAAATCTCCTAATTACATGCTCGATGATTCATGTCATGGATGAAAGAGAATCCCATACCTATCTTAATTTCGAAAGACATTGTGTCAATTAATAAGTATAGGTGGTTAAAATCTTTTATTTCATAAAAAAGTGATGAATATTTTTTAGTTGCAAAATATAATTAATTAAAAATGTAATTTAATTTGAAAGATTTCTATTTTACAGTGTTCTAAAAGTCGCTAGGCGCCCGTTAGGCACTCGACCAGCGCCTAGCGCCTAGAGCCTAGGCGGCGCTTAGAAATCAATATTAAATACCTTATTATTTTATTTATTTAACTACTTACAAAATAAAACTATCTCTACTTATAATAAATCGACACACCTAAGTCCAAATAATAATATTAATATATTTTAAAGAAAACATGAGGACAAAATAATGTAATTAGTATTTAAAAAATAATAAAAAATTCGAAAAATTGCCGCCTAGGAGCACCTAGGTCCGCCTACGCCTGCCTAGGCGCCGCCTAACTGCCTGACTGCTGAGCCCGCCAAGGCCGCCTAGGAGCGCCTAGGGCCGCCTGGCCGATTTTTTTGGCCGATTTGTGCAAATCGGAGGCGCCCAGGCACCGCCTAGCGCCTAGGCGCCGCCTAGGCCGACTTTTAGAACAGTCGTATTTTAATCGTTTATATGCCAAAAAATCCGCAAGTGATAAAACATATCTATTAACAATAATCAATTTAAAGATAGTTACTTGTTAAATAAATGTTATTTCGGAAATATATTATATCCAAATAAATAATTCTCTTCCGATATTGTGAGATACGCATATAGTACATATACAGTTTTTTTTCCAAAAGTGAAGATATTTAATCTTACTAAGTTATAATTTAGTATTTATTAATGAAATAATCGGTATATCCATTCTTAATCCAATATTATGGTAAAAAATATCAATTTATTTTTATTTTAAAATATATCACCATTTATTTAAAATAGTTATCTCCAAATTTTGTGAAGACTTACTTCATAAAGGTTGGTTTCCAAACATTCAATATTTAAAGTTGATTATAAGTAATGATTTTCATAATAACAATATTTCACATGTTGACTATCCCCCATACGAAGTATCCGACATTCGCTAGTAACAATACTATACCAATTTATAGTAGATTATGAAACCTTATGTCTAGTTTTAAGGGATTTTTAGTCCAAACACAATTTCTCTTCAAATGTGAAGGGTGTAAAACACGATAATTCGGATGGTTCCTTTCCCCTCCCCCTCCCCCTCTCCCCCCTTTCCAAATTGTCAAGCTCATTTTGTTGTCTATGCCTCCATTTAGCTTTCTAATGCATGCTGATTTTTGTTACTTCCACAGGCTTGGGTTTTCATATTTTATTTGCTCATCTCGCGATTTGATTCACTTTCCTTTCAGCTTTTATTGTATACAATATAACCAAAATGAGAATTTTCAGCGACTTTTTGTCTCCCATTTTTCATGTGATGGCAGGGGTTTGGTTGGTTATAGAAGTGTGTTCAACAGCGATACACGAGGAACCGGATTTATGCACCGTGCCTTTTTGGGTATGCCTTTCTAACCTCTAATACAACTATGCTATTGTTGTTTTTGCTTTCTCTTAGATAGATCAATCTCTTAACTTGATCTTTCTAGCGAGCGTCTTATTTCAGAAATGAATGCATAAAATATCCGAGTTCATTTTGACGTGACTTTGTGATTGGAACCAGTTTCTATTAGTCGATATTTATACAAGGGGCTTTTATTGATTTCAAAGTTCCAATTGTAATTTTTAAGATTTCCAAGTCCTATGCTGTTATTAGTGATACTTTTTTCCGCTGACCATTTGCTTGTTTTTTTGACCTTGTACTTGCTGTGTGAATTGTCATACTTTTATGTTAAACATGTCTTATATTTGTGTAAATGTTGTTTGTGCAGCTTATGAGAAGTATCGTGGTCCCCTTGGAAATGTCAGAAAAGGAGTATTGGTACATTGACATATCGACTTTATTGATGTTTCTATTCTTATGACATATCATCTTTCTGTAAACTTTTCTATACATGTTATGTTTTGTGTTGTCAGAAGCTACTTCATTTTGCATCATTAATATATTTTTTGTCCTTAGCTTCTACAATATTTCTCCCCAATATCAATTGACAACCAATCTATTCATACCAAATTATTGCAATATAAAATGTAATATTAAAGAAGAGAAGCAAGAAATAAAGGGCTTTTTGATCAGGATCCCATTAGTTAAGCAGCCATAAACTTGATTAATTACAGGATCTGAGAATCCCATAAGTTCAGCAGCTAGTAATATCCTTGATTAATTACAGGATCTCTAGAAATGTAGTCACATTAAATTATGCTTCCCATACTTATTCATTTGAATATAAGTTCTATCAGTATCTTCTGTAAACTGCAGCTTGGAATTGTATGCTTCTCTCTATAGGCGTAAATTGGAAATCGGGATTGGTAGTTTAAAATTAGCCTAAATTGCAGTGACATTATTACTATTGACAGTTCCGACATCCCAATATGTTGCTCTGTCACCTCACATTTTGGTCCCATTCCACTCGTATCTAAATTTGCAGTACATAGTTCCCAACTACTTTGTAATTATATCCTATAGAGCTACTCATAGAAAGACATATCTACTTCCCCCAAGTCATCTACTGTTTTTCATAGTTCAATTTTAGGCTTAAGTTTGTCATTTAATTATTGATCAAGCAGGTTTCAATGGGATATGGAACCATCACTGCTCATGCATTGATGAGTCTAGAAGCTCGTGGAATACTTTTTGTCAAACCAGGAATGGAGGTGATTCTGATTGCACTCGTTCTAGAGGCATTGTTGATGGAGAGACTTAAGATTTTTCATTTCCTAATGTTTTTTGTTGGTTTGATTAACATCTTTCAATTATATATAATGTACTTGCAGACCTATGATGGCATGATTATTGGTGAACATTCACGAGACACGGATCTGGATGTAAGGAGATAATATTTGACTCCATTTTTGCAATTTTTTTCCCTTTATGAATAACCTCAATTATTGCTTGTTTCAGGTGAATCCAGTGCGAACTAAGGAGCTAACCAATGTCCGTGCTGCCTCCAAGGATGAGAATGTGAAGCTAACTCCTCCTCGCCTTGTGCGTGCTCTAATCCATTTTCGTTTCTTCCTTTTTTTCCCACAATTTATTAGGTAGATGTTATGGGAGTACAAAAGAAATTAAATGCATAAACTTCTATTATACAATCCTCTTAAGATTCTCTACACAACAGACATACATGAATCTTTTGGTGTTTGCTGCTGGGAAATATCTATGAACTGTCTTGGTTTACCCTTTACATGTATTATTTTACGAGACGTGGAAATAAAATGTTCTGAATCACTTGACATGTTTGTGCGTTTCTTGTAGATGACTCTTGAAGAAGCAATAGGGTATGTTGCATCTGATGAACTAATTGAGGTATGCTCATTTTCGTATCTTATTTGTTCGGTTCTTGACGAGAGGAGAGGAGTGACGTTGGAATTGTTCTATAAATTTTTTTGAATGGGCTGTGCAGGTTACTCCTAGCGCTATTCGTTTAAGAAAGAGATATCTGGATGTTAATAAGAGGAAATCAATGAGTAAAAAACCAAAGCAGTGATATTTTTGAAGTACGAGTTGGTTTGTATTTATGTGGGGAAGGATGAACATATTTGGAATAAGCCAAAAGTAGCATCTGCAGCTAAATCGAAAACATCTCAAGCTTCTACAATCAACGCCAGAACATAGAAACTTTTACACTTGTGTATTATTTATGGATAGTGATTCTTGAAACCATTACAGTTTTCATAATATTGTCTCATATTGTTTTTCAGTCAGTATTATATTTGCTATTTATTAATTTGAGATTACTTGCAAATATCATAATTTTTTTTGACCTGGACCGGCCGGCCAAGTCGATCCGGGACCCGGCCGACCTGGAGCCGGAACCAGTCCGGGTGGACTATTTGGACCGGGCAACAATGGACCTGTCAAAACCCGGCCTTGACCCAGCCGACCCAGTGCATTGACCCGGCCGGTTAACCGGCCCACATATATTTTTTTATTTTTTTATTTTTTGTTTTTTCAAAATGAAACTATGTATATATGTTTATATGGTAATCTTATCATGAGATACGTATTATTAACACTTTAATATATAAATTTTATATACAAAACATTTAATTTTGTTACTTTTATGAATATTTATATGACAAAAATACTCTATATAATTGTAAAAATTTTAAAATTTATTATTCGGTTCAGTAATTGACTCGATGACCAGAGGGGGTTTAAAAACTATGGCAAATATTTACTTCTGATTATTATATTACTTTTTTTTTTAAAAGGTGCCGTATGGGTAGCTCAGGTGTAGCTGAAAACCTACTGGGCCGATTCTCAAAAAAGAAAAAGAAAAAAATAAAAAAAATAAAAACAAGAGAGCGAAAAAATGGCTGGTAGTAGGAGCTGTTAGTACGATGGTATCAAATGCAAATCTCTCTTCTGTGATCATCTTTTGAAATACTCGCAATATGGTTCAATAAATATATTCTCCTGCCCACGGTGGACAGTGTCTACTAGTTTGTTTTATATGAAAAACGTATTTTGAAAATACGTTTTTCAATTAAATTTAATTGAAAAATATATTCTCAAAATACGTTTTTCATATAAAACAAACTAGTGAGCACTGCCCACCGTGGGCAGGTGAACGGGACTGTATAGTTCAAATAGGTTATATTTGGTATTTTGAGCTATAGATTGTACTGTTCAAAGGGTGTCAGCAAGGTTCGCACATTATTTTGAATACATAAGGTTTTCTGCTACAGATGCATGAAGAATTGCTTTAATGTTCTTAATCTCTTGATTGTTTTAGAAAATATCTTCTTAGATAGAGGGATTTCTTGTTTAAAAGGTAAGAATTCTTTCTTGGAGCTTCTATGTGAAAATGAGCCGAAACAATATCTATGTACAAAGATTGGGATAAACATAGCATCAATGATTTAAAAAACGTATTGTACAGGCCGGTATACCGGTACGAAAACACTAAAAAAACTAGATTTCCGACAATACAGTGTTGCACTGGTATCATACCGTATATACCGCCAAGTACCGGTCTTAAATATCGGTCTGATAAGAAACCAAAAACAAAAAAAAAAAAAGAAAAACAAAAAACAAAAAACATACCACTGCCATACACGCACTACAAACCTGATGTATTTTTTTTCTTAAAAAGTAGGTCAAAAGCTGAAAGCATATTTGTGGCTGACACTAGTAGATGTACTTTTTTACTCTTTAGCATGACTCAGTTTTTATATTTTCAATATGATATCTTATATAAATATATAGTGTTATTTGGTAGTAGTCCGATACGACCGGTAGTACTGATACCGGTGGCTAGACCGCTATAACCACCGGTACGATATTTAAAATCTTTCAAAACATCCCTTTCTTGCGATTTCTTATTACGTGGATCACAAGAATGTGTCATGCTCAATGCTTGTTTTAGTCCATAAGTTGACCATTTCAACTTGCAAATTAGATGCTCTTGTTTGTATTTATTGCTTTCTAGTTTTATTTTCGAATTCTGAGGAGGAAATTCTTTGTAAGGTGGATAGACTGTAATACCCCATTCTATTGTGGATTTTTGAAGTTTACCCTTATTTTCCTCGACTTTCTTAAACGTGTACCATTTTGCTTCAAAACACGATAAATATATGTTATCCACAATAAATAATGTTGCCGTGTTCGAAAACAAGTCTTTCCGGAGACGTTGCTTACATATTTCGTATTTGTCCCTATTTACCTTTATTTTCCTCGACTTTCTTAAAAGTGTACCATTTTGCCTCAAAACACGATGGGGCGATAAATATATGTTATCCACATCAATAATGGAGTCGAGTTCGAAAACAAGTCTTTCTGGAAACGTTTGCTTACATTTTTCGTACTTGCACCTATTTACCCTCATTTTCCTCGATTTTCTTAAACGTGTACCATTTTGTTTCAAAACACGATGCTGCCTTTTGCGACGAATCATTTTGGTTGCTGCATATAAATGTTTTCATCAAGGCTCCTGGAAAATTTTATTGACATTCATTTGCCAAATCTTATAATCAATATGAGTAACAACAACCAAGAGAATCCTGATGGACTTAAGCATGGCTATCGGTGAAAAAGTTTTCTCATAAACGATTCTCTCTTTCTGAGTATACCCTTTCGCTACAGTCCTAGTTTTGAATGTCTCAACCTTCACATGTGATCCTCTCTCTTTTTTTATAGACCCACTTGCATCCAACGACTCACACGCTATTGGGTGGTTCTACAAGATCCCAGACCTGATTGAAGTCCATTGACTCTATTTCAACTTTCATCGCACTCTGTTAAAACTCTCATCTCGATCTTGGGGCACCTCATTTTATGTCCATGGGTCGACTTCAAGTTCACCCGAGAAAGTCAGAAGACTCCCGTAAACATGAATCGTTCTAGCTACCTGACAGCTCTCACACTACGACGAGGCACTACAGGCATAGGTGCATCGTCGGTGACACGTGTTGCAGTATTTTCTGGTGTATCATCAAGTGCATGTGGTATTGAAGACGTACTCGCCCCCTTTAACTCCTATAGGATATGTCTACTTGTGGGCGTGTGGTCCATCACATAGTAAGAATCAAACAGTCGTGCTAACGACCACTTTCATGTCCTTGGGACTATATAATAGATTTCCCTTCATTCCCTTGGGACATCTCACAAATAGCCTCAATTCTGTATGCAGTTCCAACTTATATGTGTCTCTCCCTAGCACCCTTTAGCACGTCTATTAGACTACCCCATATACGAATTTATTTCAAAAAGGGCTTGCGCTCGATCCACAATTCAATGGGCATAGGCGAGACTGATTTAGAAGGTACAAAGTTTAGAATGTGTGTTGTTGTTTCTAGGGCAAATCTACAGAACGAATTGGATAATTTGCTATAACTTATCAAAGTTATAACCACTTACATAAGAGTCCTATTCCTCCATTCTGTCACACTATTCTGTTGGGGCGTACCCGACACAGATAACTAACTGGGACTCAACCCTATTTAGGGATGTCATACAGAAGGGATGTCAAAAACTTAGCCTCGTTGCGGCTTTGGAAGTAGAGTCCCTCATTTTGTTCTTTGGCTATAAGAGAATAAAAACAAAAATCCAGGTCAATTCGACATAATCGGATAAAAGAAAGAAAAATATAGATGGTGATGTGACAAATAAAATTTGGGGGAAGTTGGTTAAGGGGCAGGCCAAAGATGGCGCATATGTCGAGAATGGGCTGACAGATAGGACAACAGAGACCTAATTGGATCTGGCTCTGAAAAAAAGTGTAACACCCGATAGGGGGCGGTCGTACACATCAAAAGGTCTCAGTGAAGTGAATGTCAACTTAAGACGTCGACCAGCAACATCGTGGAAGTCCAGAATCCAATCGGTGTTGGGGTTAGGTACATGAACTGAGGCAACCCGAATAGGGGAGTCAAATCGAAGGGGCGTCTCACTGCCTCGACCTCCTCATCGATTGCGTCACCTCAGGCGAGGCAGGAGGTCGACAACTGGACCATGGGCTAACTGGAAATGTAAAACTAGGCGTGGAGTAAAAGATAAGGGAACATGTCGAAGAACCACATCCTCCTCTATTTCGGGTTCATCGACTAGTTTGAGAGGTCGACGAGGGCACGGGGCCAGA